CTTCAAATCAACCCAGTTTCTCCCTCCATAGCTCAAATTTTAGAGTTTCTCCAGGAGGGACTTGACAAGGGGCTGTCTCCTAACACGCTAAAGCGTCAGGTAGCTGCCCTGTCATCAGTCCTTTCTTACGAGGGTCTCAGTTCCCTTTCTCACCACACCCTCATCCGAGCCTTTCTTAGAGGGGCTACCAATTTACGCCCCACCCCAGTCCACCGTTATCCCACCTGGGACCTCAATAAAGTCATCCTCTCCCTCACCAAAGAGCCTTTCGAGCCCCTGAGGGAGACGGGTCTCCAATTCCTAACATATAAAGTGGTTTTCCTGGTGGTCATTACATCGGGCCGACGTATCTCAGAAATAGCAGCTCTGTCTGTCAGGCAAGACCTCTGTGTCTTTCACACAGATAGGGTGATCCTCCGACCCGACCCCACCTTTCTGCCAAAGGTTAATTCTGCTTTTCACAGAGCCCAGGAGCTCATCCTCCCCAATTTTTGTCCCAATCCATCGCAGGAAAGGGAACAGCAATGGCACAAACTCGATGTAAGGTGCGCTCTGCGCATTTACATCAAATGTACAAAGCCCTTCAGGAAGTCGGAGACCCTTTTTCTGTCTTTCCAACCCCAAACTCTGGGTCACAAGGTGTCATCTGCTACCATAGGACGATGGATTAGGGTGGCCATAGCTAAATCATATCAGTCCCAAGCCCTTTCAGTTCCAAAGGGCATAACAGCCCATTCAACCAGGAGCACAGCCACCTTTGCGGCCTGGGCTACCCAGGCACCAATAATCGAAATATGCCGGGCTGCGACTTGGGCCTCACCTTCCCCCTTCATTCGGCACTATAAAGTTGACGTGTTTTCCTCTGCGGAGGCTTCATTTGGCAGGCAAGTCCTGCAGCGTGTTCTTAGGGACCCTAGGGATATTCAGGACCAGACGGAGTCCCTCCCTTAGGACAGGCCAAGCTTTGGTATGTCCCATCTCTGGATGCTCCTCGCAGCTCAAACAGAAAGGGCGTATCAGGTAAGTACCAACGCCCTTTCTATCATTATCTCAGCTAGGTTTTGTCCTTTTTCTTCCTCTACGTTTTGGAATCTAAGATAGAATTCTGATCTATCCATCTCCCATCTCAACATACCACTTTTATCTTGTTCAACCACCATTAATCTATTATCAATATCTCCAATCTTCTTGTCTCTTTGTTTATCTTCTTCAATTTTTTGGAACCTCTCATCATACTTCAACATCATTTGTTGGATGTTCTCCACTTTTTCATCGGTTTTCCCTGTTCTTTGTTCAATGTTCTCTGTTCTTTGTTCAATGTTCTCTGTTCTCTTTTCAATATTCTCTGATCTTGCTTGAATATTTTGAATTCCTTGCATAATCATCTGCAGAGTCACTTTTTCTTGTTCTTTTTCTTGCTTTAACATTGTCTGTATTGAACATTGTCCTCCAGATGGTGGAGGGGAAGAAGTAGAAGTTGAAGAACCAGGAGCTATAAATTTCCTACTCATTTTAAGCAATTCAAAATCTTCAGGTTCTTCTAAACCTTAATCCAATTGTGAAGTAACCAATTATAGTTCAAAATGAAAATAGTAGAAAAAAGAAGCCCAATAATAATAATTAAACAAAGAAAAAAAAGGGGGGGAGGAAAAAATTTCTTCAGGTTCTTGTATACCTTAATCCAATCAATAGTTAGATAAAGAAAAAGACTTAAGAAAAAAAAAGAAAAAAAAGGAAAAGGAAAAATTCTTCAGGTTCTTCAACACCTTAATCCAACTGAAAGATCTCAAATAGAAAAAAGTGCATAAAAATAAACCAGAAAGGTAGATGAAAAAACAAAAATACCAGGAAAGGGGGGAAAAAAGGCTTTTAAGCCTTTCCCTTTAAAATAAAAAGCAAACGTAGAGATTGGACTCTCCCCCCCCCCCCCCCCCCCCAAAAAAAGACAAGCTCCAAGAAAGCCAAAAAACCCAAATAATTATTACAAAAAAAAGATTTAAAAAAATACAATAAAGCTGGTGAGGAGGGATAGCACGACTTAGGAAAAGTAAAAAGGGCACACTGCACTTTGTTTGATTATCCAAGGCTCTTATTATAACTCTCTTCTCCAAAAACTTATCACCTTTTTTTCCCCTACGTTTCAACACCAGACTCCAGCTGTTGATAGAAACCCAGAAGAGCACCTGCAATAATACTCTCCCATGCTCTTCCCTCTATCTTATCAAATAGCAATGTCCTTGAAAAAGAGTCTCAGTTCTTTCTTTCTCAGCTTTGTCTGGTCACAGGGAAATAGAATATTTTCAAGCCTCTAGTTGGCAGTGTTACAAAGTTTCTTTGCTCTCACTTTCTCCCTCCTTTTCCGAGCAGGATATAATAAGAATTAATAAAAAAAGAAAAGATATTTTTAAAAAATGAAATAACTAAAGGGAGCCTCTAGCCTAAAATATTACAAAATCAAAAAGGAGAAGAAAAAAATAGATATAAATGAAAAAACCAGTCCAGTTTCAAAGTACAAGATCATATATAGAAAATCCAGCACTGAGAAAACAAACAAAAAACATTACTTTGACATTCCTGTTTAAAATCGCCGCTTAATCACTTCTGCCAAAACTTTTACAGATTCTTTCTTTTCCTTAGGGTGTCCTTTCAGATCTTAAAATAAAAAAAAAAGTTCTCACCAAACCGGCACACTCTCTCTTTCTGTTCTCTTCCGTTTCGGAGCTGTCCCAACTTCAGCAGCTTTAATGGCTGCCTCTTTGCCGCTGGCAAGAAGAACTTCACCTGGATCTACCAGGGACTTTGCGGTATCCCTGGGATCGACAGGATGCGCTCTTCACTTTCACCGTCTCTTCGGGACGGTTTAGATCCGATAGGACCGTCCAGGAGCAAAGATATCGGCAGCGATCTCAGACCTCCAAGATCGCATGCCGTATCGTCGCGCCGCCAGCTCCGCCCTCTCTCTTCAATATCTTTATTAACGACTTAGATGCGGGAATAGAAGGGGAATTTACCAAATTTGCAGATGATACTAAGCTGGCAGGAATAGCTAACACCCAAGAAGATAGGCTCAAGATCCAGATGGATCTTGACAGACCAGAACACTGGGCCGTATCTAACAAAATGAAATTCAATGTAGAGAAAAGTAAAGTCCTACACTTAGGCAAGAAAAACCAAAAGTACCCATATAGACTGGGTGAAACCAGGCTCAATAGCAGTAACTGTGAGAGGGATCTTGGAGTCTTAGTGGACAACCAGCTAAATATGAGCCAGCAGTGTGCAGCAGCAACTAAAAAAGCTAATGCAATCCTAAATTGCATTAACAGAGGGATACAATTGAGATCAACTTGAGGTACTAATACCACTCTAAAGCCTTAGTAAGACCACACCTAGAGTACTGCATCCAATTTTGTTCACCACATTACAAAAAATATGTTGAGACTCTAGAAAGAGTACAGCGAAGAGCAACCAGGATGATTAGGGGACTGGAGACTAAAAAATATGAAGAACGGTTACAGGAACTGAGTATGGCTAATCTAGTGAAGAGAAGGACCAGGGGAGACATGATAGCAGTCTTCCAATATTTGAGGGGCTGCCACAGAGAGGAGGGGGTCAAGCTATTTTCTAAAGCAGCTGTAGGCCAGACAAGGAATAATGGATGGAAACTGAACAAGGAGAGATTTAACGTGGAAATAAGGAGAAACTTTCTGACAGAACAATCAACCAATGGAACAGCTTGCCTTCGGAAGTTGTGGGAGCGCCGTCACTTGAGACTTTCAAGAAGAGATTGGACTGCCATTTGTCAGAAATGGTGTAGGGTCTCCCGCTTGGGCGGGGTGGTTGGACTAGATGACCTACAAGGTCCCTTCCAACTCTGATTATCTGTTATCTTCCCATCAACAAGGAATCGGAAAAAAACCTGACTCATTTCAGAGCCTATACTAGGTCCTCTGTCTCCTGATGCTTGTAATTATTTATACAATTCATAGGTAGTCCAACTCCCAATCTCTTTGGGCAGCCTACAGTTTAAAAGTAAAAAAGACAAAAGACAAAAAAAAACATGAGTAGTTCCCCAAATTCCATCCAGCAGGGTCTCATCCTGCACTCTGCCCCAAAGTTTAAGAGGGAAACTAGGGCTTTAATAGGTTCCTGAACATCATCAGGTTGGGAGCCAACTGGATCTTTGGATTAGGAGAAACAACTGAACAGATGACAAAATATACTTCTATGGGATTCTGTCAGAAAGAGGGAAGTAAGCAGTACTGAGTTTCAGAAGAGTTTGTTTTCATAAAAGTAGTAGCGTTATTTAGCCCTGTGCAGATCACCACTGTTTCAACACAGCAAAGAACCTCGTAGACTGGAACCACTGTGTCTCTGCAAAAAGCTTGGCCAGGATCAGGGAGGCTGGTGTGCCTTGTTTGGTAACTTTGATTGCAGAAATGGCTTCTCTGCATGCATAAACAATATGACTTTTGCTAAGTGAGGTGTTAACACTCCTGGTTAGACTCAGGGCTCTGTGGTACCTCCATAAAGCGTTGTGAGGGAGTATTTACATGAACCTTCAAAGCAAAGAACTTCCTAGTGTGGCCATGCTGATAGCTAAAGGAGTTCTTTGCTTGAAAGTTACTGCAAAAGTGTCCCTCGGAACACTTTACAGAGGTGCCACGGTGTCCTGCTTCTAACTGGGGGTGCAAAGTATCAAATATATTCTTGCTGGGTTCTATGACAGTTTCCACCTCTGTTGCTGGAAGTGTTCTGATTCATTGTGCCTCTGCTGTTTTCATGGAATTTTTAAAAACATGCAATATCAATGGAAACTTACCCCCTCCCCCCCTTGGTGACTTACTGTGACTCTTGTTGTGTACATCAACATTTGTAGCTGACACATTTGTCCAGTCAGTGAAATGGGGCTCCATCCCAAAAGTTTTAAAATCCAACACATTCTGTTGGGCTTTTTCAAATAGTCTGATCCTTGTTTTCTCTGTTTGCATTTTTTTTGGCAGCCTTGGGACCCATTGGTGCATTAAATGGCAGCTGTGAAACCAAACTCTCTGTGATCCCTAAAGTCTCTGGCCTGGAACGGAGCCAGGAGCGTAACTATGAGGCCGACCGGGACTGCCTGCTAGTGCCTTTCCTGACTAAGGAACCCCCTTCTCAGGCAGCTACTGCCCCTATTCTGGCTCAGGCCTTGCCTCCAAATCCTCCTGCCCCACCTCCTGTCAAGACTCTGGCTCAGACACCTAACACTGTTCGTGGGATGCCCCAGCCTAAAGGCCAGCTGCCTCCAATGCCTCAGGGTGGAGCAGTTACCCACAGCCTTGCCCAGAGCCAACTGCACATGAAGGTGCCACCCTCTACCAGCCAGACGCAGGCCTCATACTCTGTAGGGCTTGACCTCAGCACTGGAGGGTGAGTCCTGATGCCCTCTGGCTACAGAGCTTTCTCTGGTTATTGTTTCTTTTTTGCACTCTCTTTATCTGTCTCTTTCAAGCTCTGCTTCTGTCCCCATGTTAGTCTTCTGTCCTTTTACACTTTCATGGTTTTTATTTGCTTTAACTGCTGTTGCTTCTGTCCTCTTTGAGACATATCCCTCCCCTTCTTTATGTCTTATTAATAACTTGAAAATGTTGAAAGCTCTTTGTATATCCTTACAGCAACCCCGTAGATAGTTATATGTTAGTTATAGTCATAGTTATAGTTTTATATACATTGAAGATGAGTTAACAACTTAAAATGGAGAGAATTGGCCTGACTTGCTCCTTATAGTGAAGTTATGACAAGGATGAGATTGGACCGGGGCTTTCTGGCCCACAGTTGGAAGTGACTACATCATGTATTTGGACTGCATTTTTTTTATCTCAATGTTTTTCTCGTCTCTTTCTTTAGAAAGAGGGTTTTTTT